CACCTGTCAACTTAGAATAGTGCCTAAAGATTGCTTTGTGCAGCTATAAACGACTGTTAAATGAAAAGATTTTGAAAACGGAAAAATTGATAGTCATGCCGGCCCAGCATCATCAACATTGAAAAATGCCACGAAGCGGTTAACACTACAAATGATGTTCAGGGAATAGTGATTTGAGCTATATGTTGATGTCCTGTTGATGATATCACGGCGCACAGATCTAGCGGACCATTCACAGAAAGCATGCTGTGTTGGCACACACGCATCAACCGTTGCCTGAAATCCAAATACGCCGGTGTAAGTAAAATTGTCGAGTCATTCTCATTTAGGAGGATATTAGGATTCAAAGTTTGTGACAATCCTGCAGTTTGGATTTCAGGCATTTAAGACATGCCTTGAAGTAGGGCTGTGGTGGCGACAGATAAGAGACAGATTGTAAAAGAGAGCCACTACAGCCCTATTTGTGAGGCTAGGTCCAACATGTCCAAGCAAGACTTAGCCTACTCAGACTAGGCCGGGTCCTACTCCTAGCACTGCACCTGCCTAGCCTTACCTCAACACGCGAGAAATTTATCTCCACGTCCGATTTCACAAAACCTCCACAGCCAAGAAAGTCGTCGGCATTGATTAACGTGCATAAACTACAGACCACGAGGCATGAATTTGGAAAATAGTGCAAAAAACCCATTTTTTCCCAGAAAAGCTACGACCTCACCACGGTTCACCCGCATATACTACTACAGCATAGTACCAGTGGTACATTTTTGTTAAACCCTATTACCTGTAACAAGTCAGTCCTAAATCGATTAGTAAAAGTATCGATTATTAGACTGAAAAATTTGACCATATAAATCGTGCATTCATGGAGGAAAAGAATCGATTCTTATCTTAACATATATATGTACTCAATCATATTAATCGTTTACAGTACTCGCTTCCAAAATGTCTGGTTCCCTATACCATTTTCAAACAACAACAACACGTGAAATTACAAAGTAGGGCGCCCTCTCCTGGAAGGACATTGGAAAAAAGTGTTGGCGGCACAAGTGTTGGAGTTTGTATGGCGGCCTCGACGGCAAAATTTGCGATCGATTTATTTTATAAGGTTGAAAACATAAAGAAGAGGCTTGATTACGTGAACTTTTTTTGGTGGTGGTGGTTTTTAGGGGGGGTTTGTAACTTCCAAAAAGGTCGGTCGGAAATGTACATCCAACGGTAAACGTAAACATGACTTCATTTTCCTTTATACGGAAGGCTTGACCGTGAAGTTCATTTTTTTTGGTCACGTCTAAAGGCTTCGTGTAGGAAGGGTCCCGGGAGTGGAAACTCTGAGGACTGAGCTGAGCAATCATGTTGTTGAGAAGGCTGACTTATGGCTTTTAAAAATTGCTCTATTGGCATATGCAATATTAAAACAGTCCTCAGTCCTCCAACAGGTGAAGAATTCCAAGTCAGGACTGTTAGGGTTAGGCCTAACGGAGTGGCAATGATTTTCAAAATGACAATTTTTCGGAGGTGGTGATTTTCATCATCATTAGAGAAGATTTTCTTAGACTAACGATGGTAAAATAATTGAGCTGTAATATCTGTAATCAATGTATGTGGGCGTGCAAGATGAGAACAAATCGATGTCTGTATACTATGTATAGTGAAGCACGGATGCGTGTGGGATGTGGGTGGGTGGACGAAGGGTGTGGGAGGGCGTGTTCTCCGGGTTATATGGGGATAAATCAGACATTTTTTTGTGTTATCCTATTTAAGACGATGTCTTCTGTCTCCTAAAAGGTTTTGGTACTTACAAATTAACTGAAAGACATGTGTTTGTCCCACAACTATGGGACAAGGATTTCGTCTTTTTTTTTCCATCGTTATCTCCCTGTCCTGAAGAGAAACCTCCACAGGAGTATTATTCTTGCACATTTGTTGCGCGGCTCCCTGTCGTCGTCGTCTGTTGTCAAATGCAGCAAGGTAAGAGACGGAGAGAACCCCCCCCCCTGCTTTGTGTTGGTCATTGTTTCGCAGGAATCTGGGGAATTCCTTTCTTGGGGGGATGTGTTAAGTAACAATAGTCTGAAATGTTTATAGGGATTGGACATGTTGGGGGGGGTACCCCTCGGTCTCATTTCTTACTGGGCATATCTGTGGTAGTTTCTTTTCAGCAGTAGTCTGCAGCCACAGACTCTGGAGGGGTGACCTCATCAAACATTGGGCAGTGCTGGGTAACGCAGCCATGCAACTTGAACAGTTGATGGAAAACCAATTCGTTTAATGTTGACCGCTTCGTTGAGTGTATTTAAAAATCATTGCATTTCGGCTTAATTCCTCTCGGAAGGTTATTTCCTGAGTGTTGCAGTGTTTTTTAATGGATGCACAAACTGAGCTCCCAGTCCTGGGTTTTACACCATGACTTTGATTGCCTAGTTGGTTTATCGATAGAAGTAGTGACGTGGACGCCAATTGAAAACACGAAATGTGCTAAAAATCGATCTTCAAAGTGCTCCGTACAGCTTTCACAGCAGTCTTAAAACCGGCGTTTTGTTTGGGTAAGGTTTTAGTCAATTATGTAACACATCGCTACCGGGACCGTTGATTAGTGACGAGGAAGTCTTAAAGGCGCCGTTCGTACGCAATTAAGGACTAGTCAAAATGAAATGCAATCTGCGAGTGTCTAAGTCGAACGGTGGGTGTCCCCGGCAAGACTTATTTCTCACTGAGGACGGAAACTCGTGTTGGTGACAAACTGTCTAATTTGGCTGCCCGGATCGACTGTTAAGTTTCTAATTGATGAATAAGTGTTCTAGTAAAGACTGTGCGTGAATTCGTTTTATTTCGTTCCATGCAAAGGGTGTGTTTCTGCAGCTTTAATCAAACCGCCACTGCTGACGAAGGCACTGTCTTCCTGCCTGAGCCAAGGATATTCATTCACGACACTATTATATAAAGCCTTCAACGATTAAGCTCAGCAATAGCACATCACGGATGTTAATCTCCAGATGTCATGGCGAAGCGACTACTCCTGCATTGTGTTCTTTCCATCACCCTCTTGGCGATCACGGGTAAAAAAACTAAGATAAAACATTTTAAAACTGCGTTGGCCTATACATTTTTAATTAAATCAGTTACTGGAAAATTACTAAAACTAGATTTTCTTCTGAGAGTGAAGGTATGGTTGTGACTTGTGATGCTAAAAATGCTCGCGCATTGGAAACACAGTGTATTTTGTGCTATTTCTTTTCCTTTTCAGTTGTCTTCAAAGACAGGGTTTAGGTATGCTGAATTATTACTTTATTATCATTTGCATTTCATGTGAAAATGTAAAATGAAATAAAAATCAGGTCACGTTTGGTTTGCATGCTGCCCGATGATTAAAGTTTTCTTTAACAATTGCTGGCTATATGGGTCATCAAATTGAACTTTTTTGACAAACCCTCTTGACAATTCAAGCTTTGTTGCAGATTAGTATGTCACAGATTCATTTATTTTTCAATGGGAACTGTTTGAATTGGATATATCCAGATATTATAATCCAGTCGGCTAGTGCTGACAATGGTACCTGCTGTCAACTGGCGGAAGAGCGTCTTCGGCAAATGATAGTCACCGGTAACGGTAATTACAACATGATGGAACGGCCGGTAACTGCGTCCAACTACTCCGTTGTTGTCAATGTGTCGCTCAACATGTATGCTTTGATGTCGCTGGTATGCATAACCTAACGTAATGTTTTTAACATGTCTCTTGTACTTGCCAGACATCTGCTGAACACATTTCGATATAGTTGACCCACACAAGTTTGCACAGAGACATCAAATTCTTTTTTTTTTTGCTCAGTATTTACCCCTCACGATGAGGCTTATTAGTTGACCAAGAAGTGTTCAATTCGCTTATCTATTTTTGGTAAGGTGTTGTATTTATTGAAGGATTTTACATTAGCGCCGTCTGCGCATATGCGCATCGAAACCGAGGCTTTCTGTGTTGAACTTCATCGCGCGCGCCCGCGGAGTCGACACAGTCCTGTACATGCGGTATCCCGTTCGTAAGTGTGACACCACTTCAGTTTTAACCACGCCCACTGCACAAGATACACGACTATCGCAGGTACGTTAGTTCGTGGTAAATTGTCGTTTTTTTTTTCTTTTGATTTTACGTGTTGAGTCATCCTGAAACTCTTCCACAAAAAAATTGCAACCTGAGAAGTCTGAATTTAACACACATTTATGCATTTTGTGTCTTGACTCCTTACTTTCAATCGTCTGATCGTATTAAGAATTGAAACTGACACAGCCTCGTTTTCAAACGCGGAAGTGCGCAGATCGACGCTAAAAGCGTTGTATTGAGATCTTTCTATAAGGATTGTTCTCGTAGTCTACCTTTCCCATCCCAGAATACATGTTTTTAGGAGCCAGTCACAGGACTGTGCACTGGCCAGGGACGTGTTGATTCTCTGACAAGGCAGTGAAATCGATTAACCGAAGGCTTAGCTAAGAATAAACCATCAATTTTTGATCTGTCTCATTGCAGGGTACTTAGTCAATATTCCCAGAACAGTTTAGTCATTCTTATTATCGATCAAGGGGTCGTCACGTGGCCGGTTGGAGAGGTTGATAAGGCACCGGCTATCGGGCAGTGGCAGCCAGCATAACATTTGAAGAGGGGCATTCAGAAATGTGGCAATAATTATTTGTGGCAAAAAAATCCTTGGAAGTTTCTCATTTTTAGTGACTTTTCAGTGACTTTTTGTTGTATAGGCCTAAGTATAGGCCTGTCGGGTATGGGAATAAAATGTGTGCTTAGTGAACAGACCCTTTCAACGTTCTTCGTTACTGATTCATCGCTTTCTGTGCAACCCCACGCTTAGTAGGTCCCGTGAAGATTACTCAAGACTACTTGCAAAAGGGTCACACCCTTGGCAAGAACAATGTTGGGGGGGGGGCGAAGCACAAAGTCATTGGTAATTCATAAAATATTAAAACTTTAGGTGTTGGGTGACGTTATCAGTGTCCATTCTGCTGAGCTGGTTTTAAACTTGGCATGATTATTCGTTTTCATAAAAATGGCCCTTTAGAGTAAAAACATTTGAACAGGTTCAAATGACGTCAAGAACCGCGTGATCACCCGCTTACTACTTGAGTGGCCGCCATTGTTGTATGAAGGCTTGATTTTCACCAACTTTATGTCACAAAAAAATGACAACGTTGGCGCTGCCTATGTAACCAGGAAGTTATCGGTTATTCAGTGAAAGTACTTCTGCTAACCGGGAAATACTCCCCCTGGAGTTAGTTTGCAGAACACACAAAGTTTTCTTTTTGTATATAGATATATTCTTTTTTTTTCTCCGAATCAAACTTTTAGGCTTCCCTTTCTGGCAACTATAGGTTCACAAAATAATAATGTCTTCGCCTATAAAATTAATTCGTATCACGCCTTTTTGTTTTCTGTTTCAGGAGGAGAAAGTGCAGACTCTGACTGCTGCTTCTTGGCTAAAAATAGTAAGAATTGCTGCACGATTACAAATCAGAGTCAGGATTGTATTAAAAAAAAAAACACGAGCTGGAATCTTGACGCACTGTCTCACCAAGGTTTCTATCACTCGTGTGAGTGTGCTACACGTGGTGTTTAGGTGCTGTCACTTACGACCATCATAGTTGTGAGTCGTTCTTTCAACGCCAAATGACTCTTTAGCCTGAATTTGTTTGCGACGGTCTTCTAACGAAGTTACTTACTCGTTAAAGAAGTTATGAACCATCAAGGTTAATCTTCTTACTGTTCAAAGTGCTGCGCCTCGGGGAAGGAATTCTTACTGTCATAAAGTCACTAGTGGTTTTACCATAGGGATAGGACCTGTTACGGCGATATGGATAAGAAACTGGGTGAGTTTGTCTTGTAATAGAATGCAGGGGCATACAGTTTGGATTTGAAACTAAAAA